CAGGGAACTGCTAAGGCAGCTGCACCCTGGTGCAACCATCACAAAGCAAGAGACCCGAGAACTAGAAAGGCGAGGCTCACCACCCATTTATCCCTCCACCTTTCAATGAGCCCCACATGTGATTATCGGTCAGGTTGGCACAATTAACTAACTCACATGGCAAAGGGAAACTGACATTGCAGCTGGAGTTTGTTCTGCGAGCGATTGTAGAGTCAGGAGATTATCTTGGATGAGCTGGGTGGATCCAACATCACAGCAAGAGCCCTCCCTGTAACGAAAGGTCAGAGTGAAACAATGGGAGATGAACTTGACCGGTGGTTCCTGCTTTGAAGATGGGAGAAGGGGCCATGTGTCGCTGTAGCTGATCTTCTGAAGCTAGAAAAAGCAACGGGCTTCTCCTTGAATGCAGTGCTGCCAACACCTTGCTTTTGACTCAGTGAGACCCATTTTGAGCTTCTGGTCACCAGAAAGGTAAGACAATCGTGTGTCAGCCAGTTGGCGCGCATCTGTTGCTGCACCCATAGGAAACGAATACTCCATCATCGTTGCTTAAGGGTGGGAGCCAGGCCTGTTCTTTTACCTGCAGGTGTCCCTTCCTTAGACCAGAGTGCAGGAAAGGTGAGGGTGCTTGAGAAAGATTTGGATCCTCAGGGGAGAGATGAGAACCGATGTTTCTATTGCTGGGCAGACACTGAGCAGAAGTGACCAGGCCCCCAGAGGCCATGTTCCTCGTGTGCAGGTGCAGGGACGAGGGCAAGGCTAGAGCTGGCAGTCTTCGATGACCTGCCTGTGCGCCCAGGTGGCTGGATCAAGAGGGGCTGAGGACTCAAGGGAAGGTGCCAGGGTGGGGCAGAGACGGAACTTCCTCTCAGACAGGCAAGCGGCACCTGTTGCCACAGATGGAATTAGAAAGGAGGCTGGAATGTGAGATTTATTGTCTCCAAACCACCGGCCCAGCCTGTTTTGATGGTCCCCCGCCCCACGGACAGGATAAAGGGTTTGTCCTCCTGGGGTTGTGGGAGATGCTGGAGCCGAGCATGATGCGGGGCCACATGGTGGGTGCCTGGGCGCTGCTGGGCCTGCTCCTGGTCTGTCTTCATCTTCCAGGTATGGAGACTACACTGGACAGAGGGGCAGGAGGCTGTGGGGTGCTCAGGGGCATCAGAATTAAGGGCAGGGATGCAGCCACATATGGGTCCCGGAGGAGCTAAGAGCTGGGAGTCGGGAAGGCTCGGGAACCTGGGAATGTATGAAGGGAGAGTATTGGGATCTAACCCTCGGGCTCACCGAATGCTCTGTCTTCTCTTCTCTCAGGTCTCTTTGCCCGGAGCATCAGTGCAGTGGGGGAGGAAGTCCCCCGAGCCTTGCCGGGGCTTGGATCCCCTTCCTTGGCCAGGCCCCCCAACTCTGAACATGCCCAACCCAAGCCGGAGGCTGGGTCGAATGGCCTAGCCAGGGACCCTCTGAAGCCCCAGACGTCTCCATTGGATGGGACCCAGCCTGCAGGAGGTCCTTGGGTGCAGAATTTGCCCTTTTCGGGGGTGCTTCCCTCTCTGGACTCTTGGCCGCCTGAGGAGGATTGGCCAGTGATCGCTGCTGCGGCCGAGGACCAGGCTGGGGACGTGCCGCCGGCGGAAGGACTACCTTATCTCACTAATGCTGCTGCCCTCCCTCTGGGCAGCCATCCTCTGCCTGAAGGCTCTTCTGCACCATCTGCAGGGACCTCCCTGGATTCATCTCTCGTTCCTCGGGAACCAGAAAATAGGCGTCTACGCTGCTTTCTCCCCCCGGGAGCGCAGGGAGGGATCTCTGCCCAGCGCCCACCCTGGTCTCTTATCAACAGGATCCTTCACCCGAGTCTTCCCGGTCATCCCTGGGGGACCCTGAATCCTGGTGTGTCCTGGGGAGGTGGGCGTCTTGGAACTGGCTGGGGTACAAGGCCCATGCCACCATTCCAAGCAGGAAACTGGGGCATCACTAATCAATACCCAGGTACTAGCTGGGGGAGTATCAATCGGTATCCTGTTGGAAGCTGGGGGAATAATAATCAATATCCAGGAGGCAGCTGGGGGAGCATTCATCAGAGTCCAGGGGCCACCGGGGGAAATACTCATCTACCCTCAGGTGCCCATAACCGCCTTCCTCCCAGAATTCTTCGGCCTCCTGGCTCTTTTTGGGACATTCCAGCTAACTCCCCCAATTCTCAAGACCCTGGGGTACAGTGGGGTTAGGAGTGTGACAGGGCCGGCCTCTACGTTAGACCTCAGAGAGTGACCTGAGATCGATTCAGCCTGTCCCTAGTATTGCCCCCACTTCTCACTGCTTACCCTGCCCGCTGTGCTGCCCAGCAATAAAACTCAAGCGCTGATGGAATTTGTCCCTCTCCTGTCTTTGGGTCCCGCTATCAAGTGACTGGGCTCTGTCCCGGCCAGCCATTCTCTCTCTGGCTCCCTCCAGGCACTCCCCTGTTGCCCAGCCTTGGCAGAAGATCAAAGCCCAGGTGTTTGAGGGTGGAGGCCCAGGCCCCCTCCTGGCCAGCTGGGAAAGCTGATTCCAGAATTGTCCTGGACCCTGAAAAAGGGAGGCAGGGCTCATTGAGATGGTTCCTGTGGCCCGGAAGAGGGGCGAGTCTCGGGAGTTGGCCTCGGGGCCAGGGGAGGACTGACCACCTCTCCTTTTCTAGAGAGTCTGAGAGCCGTTTTGTGGGCACTGACCTTTGACTCTGGACAGGCAGCTTGTGGGCAGCACCACTCCCCCTCGCACACATCACTCAGTGCATTGTGCCTCGTCTGGCTGCGCAAACAGCAGGCCTCAAAAGGAAGAAAAGGGCGCGGGGTGGGGGGAGGAACTCGTTGGCATCGACACCCCAGTTCTTATTTGATGTTTTTCTTCTCCACGGGTGACTTACTACCCTGCTGGGGTCACACTGCGGCCTCTCAGCCTCTTGGCTTTTCCCAGCGCCTTGGCAGTTGGAGGGAGCTTCGGAGCAGGGCTGCCTGAAGCGAGGATGGTGGGCGGAGGCTGGAGGCGATGAGGCTTCCAGGAGGGAGTACCTACTTCCTTCTCAAGGGTTCTGGTGAGGGCACCCTCCTCATAGCCTATGGAATGTTCCAGAGCCCAAGAATTGGGCCTTTGGGTGTGGGGGAGCGGGATGAGGCAACAGGAGGATAAACATCGGGACTGGAGATGTTCCCAGAACATTCTCCTCTAGCCCCCCACATCCCCATCAGCCCCCGTTCTCCCCTCGGCTCGCCCTTTCCCCCCATCCAGGGTCCTGGGACCCCTTGGTCCTCCGGCCTCCGGCTCTCCTGTTCTCAGAAGCCCACGCCCCTCTCCCAGTACTGGCCGCGCAGCTCCGGCTCTGACTGGTGGCTCCCTGTCTGTTGCTGCTGCTGTTAGCTGCCGTCCACTCCTCGTGCTCGCAGGCAACCGTTGGCCAGTCCGGCACCGGCTTCCCTGTTGCCCAGGGCCATTCTTGCGGCCACCCTGGAAATGGAGTGCTCTCCAGCCAGAGGGCTCGTCTGCCGTCGCTACCTAACTGTGTTCTATTGTGGTGGTCCCGAAGCTTTACTGACCATAAAGGTAGTCTATGTCATTTTCCAGTCTCATCTGAGAACTTCCTTGGGCACAAGTCTTGGGGGCCCTGCCTCTCTCACCTGGCCCTCCCTGGCAGCCGAGGGGGGAGGTGTTACAACCACGTGAGTCTCAGCCAGCACACAACCTAAGGTAGTTACTACAGAGTCAGAGATGAGGTGTAGGGACAGGTCATATATATATATATTTTAAAATTTAATAAAGCATGGGATTGGGGGCTCTTATAGTTCTTAGAACAATCCATAGCAGGTCAAATCTTCATGAGCAAACACCCCGTGAAGAGAAAAGGACTGTCTAGTCAGCCTGGCAGAGCCCTCCCCGGTGGCGTAGGGGTTACCCGTGGGACTGCTAATTGCGAGGCCAGCAGTTCGAGACCAGCAGCTGCCCCCAGGAGAAAGACAAAGGTTTCTACTCCTGTAGAGAGTTACACTCTTGGAAACCCACAGGGCTAGTTCTACCTGGTCCAATTGGGTTGCTGTGAGTCTACACCAGAGTTTGAATTTGGGCAGTCAACCGGGTACATGGAGCACTCTGGGGGCCTCATTGTGTGTGTGTGTGTGGGTGTGGGAGATAGCAGGAGTGGGCCTGGAAGTTCCGCAGTGTGGCAAGGGTGAGGGTCAAAGGTGAGCGCAGACAGGGGTACTGAGTCACCGTGTCTTTACACGAGCAGCTACCCAAGGTCCTTCTGGAATGGGGAAGGTGGTCTTTACACCGACTCGGTGAGGGCTGGACAGGGTGAGGGCCACAGTGAGGCCGCAGGGCTGACACTGGGGTGAAGGTGAGGGGCCGGACCATGCCACAAAGAGCCGGGGATGCTGGGCTGTGACCCCCACGACCCTGAGGGCAAAGCCAGCTGCCAGCCCGCTCGGGCCCACGCCCAGGCGGCGTCCAGCGGCAGGAAGCCCTTGGCCAGGGGGATCTGCTCATCTGGGGAGTGGGCGGTGGGGTCGGCCACCACCAGGCTGTCCATGGCGAGGATGGCGATGGACTTCATGGTCAGCTCTGGCCACACAAACAACAGGACGGGGCTGTCTGAGTTGCTCTGGGCGGTACTGTCGGCTAAGGAGATACTAAGGTGACCGGGGCAGCTGCAGCCTCCAACAAGCCTGACTGTGGGGGGCGGGGGGAGGGGGGCAGGAAATAGGGGGTGGGCTCAGCGGAAGGCAGGGGATGGGTGGAGGTGAGGAGACCGGTGACAGCTAAGGGTGATCATAAAATTTTAATGTTCAGAAGGACTGCCAGAGCTTTCTTCTCAGTCTGCCTGAGTGTGGAGGCTCCGGGGACACCACGCACGATAGGCGAGCCCGCGGGTGTTCCGGGCAGCAGGGCTTCCCTTCCAGCGTCAATCGCAGCAACACACAGCGTGACGCCGCACCTGCTCGCTGTCATCAAGTCTGTCCTCACGCTCAGCCCCCCCAGAGGACAGAGGGAGACGGCTCCCGTGGGCTTCCGAGCCTGTGCATCTTTACGGGAGCAGAAAACCTCATCGTTCTCCATCGGAGCAGCTGGTGGGTTCAAACTGCCGACCTTGTGGTTAGCAGCCCAGCTCGTCTAACTCATGAGCGTTCCTCGGACTGAAGAGAAGGGAGACTGAAACTCACTACCAGGCTGTTGGTTCTGACTCACAGCGACCTAGAGAGCAGGCTAGAACGGCCCCCGTGGGCTTCTGAGATGCATTCTTCCGAGGACTAGAAGGGTCCTTCTTTCTCCCGGAGGAGGTTAGGAATCGTATCCAGGGCTCCTAGAAGGAGGGGAAGCCACCCTTATTTTCAGTATCCCTTCCCACGCTCCCCCCCACACTATGGAGTATCAACCCCCGGCGATGGGGACTCCGTCTGGTTTTGGTGGCTGAGAACCGTGTCTGGACCGTGGCAGGTGCTCAGCTACCACTGAATGGACGGAGGAACCGTCTTTCTTTCCAGCTGGGCCTCCCCACTGCCCTTCTTCTTCCAGTGCAACTGTTCCTGAGCCCCACGGCTGCCCACAAGCTCAGAGCCACACAGACTTCTCTTGGGACTTCCCTGGACCTCGCAGACAGCCTGGGAGTCTATGTGTGGTGTGTCATTTCATTCTCGCTACAGGGGAGGCAAGGCGGCCTGGTGGTGCAATGGTGAAGTGTTCAGCTGCTACCCGGAAGGCTGGCGGTTTTAACCCTGCCAGCAGCGGACTGTAAGGATGACACCCTAGGAAATTGAGGAGGGGTTCCCTTCTGTCCCACTGGGTGGTTACGAGGCGACAATCGGCTCAGTGGGGCACAGGACAAGAGCAGCCAGCTGTGAGGGAGCATCCTACAGTCGCCCACTTCTCCCAGATGAAGAGACCGAGGCGCAGCGAGATGACTATAAACTGGGATGGCCAGCCTGTCATGAAGGTTAAGGAGTATCATGGTCAAGTGCGCGAGAGACTGGGAAACTCTGCGTATGTGTTGGGATTGATTGTAATGCAATAACTGGTTCCAGGGGGACATTTCTCCTAGTGGGACCACTAGGTAGTTCTAGCCCCCACCTGGGAAGGCCGGTGTCGTGAAGTGGCCATTGCTGGCTGCACGGGGATGCTACGGTTGGGTTGATGCTTCCCGGTGGGAACACGCTCTAGGGAAAGCGTGTCCAGGATCAGAGAGGGAGAGGTAGCTTGTCGTGTGGTCACTTGATTCCCACCAACGCACTATGTTCACTTTGCACTCACACTAGAAGGGTGTTTGAAAACCACACGGGTGATGGCGATGAAATCAGCGCATCGCACAACTCAACAGCTCAATCATATTTCCGAGGGGTGCCATCATCGCCACAGTCACCCCCGGGGCACGTTCTTCCTTCTTGTGCCCACTGCTGCTGACTCCTCATTCCCTCCCCTTCTGTGTCTTCACAGAGCCTCCTATCCTGACTTCTCTACGCAGAAAAACGGACAAGACCAAGATCAAACGGAATCCAGAGACAACGACCAGATAAAACGGGGAAGAAGCTCCATCAAAAAGAAAGCAGAGAAACAAAACTAGAACAAGTTCAACATTAGTCAAAAGGAGATCACAGGACCCGGTGTCACTTCCAGCCTGACCTCAGTCACTACAGCCCACCTCCCCACGCTGTGTCTGATATTCAGGTGAGTCTCATCCCTAGACTGTGGTCAGCGGGGGTTCCCTGGAGACTCGATCCACATAAAGACCCTGCACATGGATTTCGGGCTTCCACTGCCATCCACGGCGTTCCTCAAACCTAGTGTTTACAAGGCAGGCTTCGGTACCGTTTCCGCCTCCGGATTTGAATTTTATGATCGTCGACTTTCCTTTTTCTTTTGTTGACTCTTCTTTTTCTTAATGGACTTTATTTTCAAACTTTTTACTGTGACTTTGGGGAAGGCTTACAGAGCCTTTGTTTTACACCGAACAGCCCACACCCATTTGGTTCCAGCTCATCCAACTGCATCCCCTCGATGCCTCATGCCACACAGCCTCTCCTTCTCTCTGTTTCCTGTTTTCATTTCTCCTTTCCCAGCCATTCACACTTCCTTCTTGAGCCAACGCTGTCATTTGGATCTGAGATGGTGCATTATACTAATAAGCGGGTGAGGTTAGTTCCAGACCTGCAGGCTGACTAAGGGCTGTCGCCTTGGAAGTTCCACCAGTCTCTATCATTACACGTAGACTCTTGAGTGATGATAATCGTGGCTTCCTTTATTACATATTAATCACGAACTAGAAGACTACTTCAACTATTCATCATAAGAACTCTGGGATTCAGTTGGTCTGATTTCTACATCACAGATGAGGAAATGGAGAGACAACAAGGTTAAGTAACTTGCCCAAGGTCCCACAGCTGGTAGGAGATGCGGCTCAGCTATGGTAACTGGGAACTGCAAGCCTGGGTGGGTGCCCCCCTCAGAGCAGATGAAGGACTTGCAGACCCCCAGCCCGGCACTGTTGTCACCACATTCATTTCCCATCTTGGTGTGACCCCTGAAGACAGCAGTCTGGTTCCTGTTTTATGGCTTGCACTAGACCTGATGCCTACAATTCGGCCGCCAGGAGCCTCAGGAGCACCACGGAGGAGACTCTCTCCTGATTAGCTCGCATTCTCATGCGCACACACCCTCCGGAAAGCCATTTGCACACCCGGGCTCTGGGTCTGCTCTCCTGACAGAGAACCTCGGTCACAGAGCGTGGAGAGACTGGGGCTGGGCTAGCAGGAGAACAAGCAGGGGCTGGAGTAAGGACTCTCATGGCCGTTCTTGACCCACATAGACCAACAGAAGGCGTGACTCATCCCAAAGGAGCAATAAAACCTAGTGCTACAGCTATTGTTTGTTCTAAAGGAGCGAGGTGGGCTGATACGCAAACTATTTTGGGTCTCCAGCTACACTAGTCCCAGTGTGGAAGGGCGGTAGAAAAAATGTAAAATAGCTGAGCTCATTAAGAGCTCCTAGAATGATGATGGCAACAAACGTACAAATGTGCTCGACGCAATGCACGGATGTATGGATTGTGATAAGAGTTGTACGAGCCCCCAGTAAAATGTTTTAAAAATAAATAAATAAAAAACTATGGGTATCCTTGGGAAGGGGGTGGGGGAGGGGGGAGCTCCTGGGTTTTAAGATGGAAGTTGTGACGAATGGAGTGAAAATTGTTTATTTCTTAGTTCCCTTTTCCTGTGCTAGTAGCTCCTAACTGCTTGCTGGTTTCCCAGGAACTGACACTCCTGAATGGGGCCAGACTTCTCAGTTCTATGAGCTAGACTTTTCCTCTTAACCTCATCCCATCGAACATTTTTGTGGGTGC